CATTTGGATGCCAGGAAGCACTTCCTGACATCCAAATGGAACCTTGGTTCCCTGAGCTTTGCTCTGTTGGAGCGCATCCTGCCTTCCTCTGCAGGGGAGAACAGCTCTCTACCCACCTCCGTGTGACACCCCCTCACATACCTGTATGTCACCAACAGATCCCCTCTGAGTCTCCTCTTCTCCAGGCTGAAGAGACCCAGTTCCCTCAGTCTCGCCTCATACAGCATCCCCTGCAAACCGGCCACAACCTTGTGGCCCTACGCTGCACTGACTCTAACCTGGCTATATCCTTCCTGTAATGAGGGGCCCAAAACTGAGCGCAATACTCCAGTTGCGGGTGCACCAGAGTTGTATAGAGTGGTAGTAATACCTCTCTCAATCTAGAAGCCACACTTCCAGCTATGCAACCAAGGGTGACGTTTGCCCTCTTAACCACCACATCACACTGCTGACTCATGTTCAGCCTGCTTTGGGGAGAACACAGAGGCAAAATAGTCATTTAGCATCTGTGCCTGTTCCCTCGTATCAGTTACTGGATCTCCTTCCTCCTTATTTAGTGGTCCTACTACTTGTCTCCCCTTCCTCTTCCTATTTACATGCTGATAGAAGCCTTTTTTGTTGCTCTTGATATTCTTTGCAAGTCTCAGCTCGTAATCAGCCTTAGCCTTGCGAAGAATCCTTCTGCAACAGGCCTCCTCCTCCTGGTATATCTTTTTGTCTATTTGCCCCAGTACCCATTTCCTATGGAGGTTCCTCTTTCCTCTAATCCCTCTAACCACCTCCTTTCGCATCCATGGCGGCACTCTCCTCTGCCTACCCACCTTACTGACTAGAGGTATCGTCAAGTCTTGCACCTCCAAAACCTCCCTTTTGAGTGCCATCCACCCCTCCTCAACTCGCTTACCTTCCAGTAACCTATCCTAGGAGACTTTCCCCAGTCTGGCCTTCAGTTGGCCAAAGTTGGCCCTCTTGAAGTCCCAGCTTCTAGTGCTCGACCTGCTGCACGTCCCCAGTCCCCTGATCTCCAAGCAAAGGATGGAGTGATCACTCGCATCCAGAGCTCCCCTAATCTGCACTTCATCTATCAGCTCCTCCCTGCTGGTCAAGACCAAGTCAAGGATGTTTTCCCCCCCTCATCTCCTCTCGGACCCTCTGTATGAAAAATGCTCCCTCAATAGCTTCTAGGAAGCGACATGACCTGGCTGTCACCGCCGAGTAAGTCTCCCAAGTAATATCCGGGAGATTGAAATCTCCCATAATTACTGTGTCTCTCCCCCTTGATATCCTTAGAATCTGGTCTGTCAGGACATCATCCAGGGTCTCAAGCTGAGCTGGAGGGTAATAACATACACCCACTGTCAGGTCTCTTTCCCTGTCAAAACCCCTGAGTTTCCGCCAGACTGCCTCTACTGAATCCCCGTCTGTGCTGCATTCTATCTCACTGCATCCTATCCTTTCCCTGACGTATAAAGCCACACCCCCACCCCTCTTTCCCTTCCTGTCCTTTCTAAAAAGGTGATACCCTTCTATGTTCACATTCCAGACTTGCCTTTCATCCCACCAAGTTTCTGTGATCCCCACCAGGTCATACCCTCCTATTCCCAGGAGCGCTTCAAGCTCTTCCTGCTTGTTACCCATGCTCCTAGCATTGGTGTACATGCACCTCAACTCCTTCCCACCGCTTCCTTTCCTTGGAGTTCCCAGTCTCCTCCTTCCTCCCATCCTCCTTGATCCCTGGCCCCTCTCTGTAGGAGTCCTGTCAGTCCCTGCAGTACCTCTAAAAGTCTGCTTCCAGAGCCCTGATCCTCCCCCCACAGTTGTCCAGTGCAGACAAGTTTCTGGGGGGCCTGAACCCCTCCCCTCAGGCTCAGTTTTAAGTCTTCCAGACAAAGCTTGGTAGAGCATCTCCAAAGGACCTTTTCCCCATCCTTGTGAGGTACAACTTGTCCCTTGCCAGAAGTCCATTGGCAAGAAACCGGGTGCCGTGGTCGAGGAACCTGAAGTGTTCCTTCTGGCACCACACCCTAAGCCAGTCGTTCTCCTCGGAGACCTTCCTGTCCCTGCCTGGTCCACATCCCTGGACCGGTAAGATCGATGAGAAGGCCACCTGGGCCTTAAGGTCCCTGAATTTCTTCCCCAAGGCCTTGAAGTCCCTGGTGATCCCGAACACCAGATCCCTGGTGATCCCGAGGGGGGCTGCCCCTGGGAGACCTGGAGAGCTCTTTCGGCCCTCAGGCACCTCAACTTCTCCTCTAGCAGGACCACCAGCTTGCACCGAGGGCAAGTGTATCCCTGCCTCTCCTGGGGGAGAAGGGCAAACATGTCGCAGCTGTCGCAGCAGGCAGCAACACCCGTGACTCCCGCCAAGGCCCTCTCCTGGTCTGCCATTGGGAACCCTCCCGGGACCCTACCTTGGTCCGCCACCTTGTCTGTCCTGCACTACCCTTCACTCGCACAGTTCTCCCAAACAAAAACCTTGCCTTCCCCAGTCCCCTGGCCTCCCTCAGCACTTTCTCCCAGCCTCTGCCTCTGCTGCTCCACTGCTCTGCCAAGAGGCAAGAGCCAAAAGCAAAAAGAGACACATCAGAGACAATGACTTAGAAGAGTCATCAGGATGATGTCTCATTGTAGTTTTTCATTAAAGCATTGGGAATTCTGTGCATGCATCCCAAATCATACCATACATTAAGAATGGATATTGACCTCCAAATGGATACTTACACAGGGCAATATTGGCAGACATAAAAGAAAGGAATAGCATACTTTCGGCAGTAGGAAAGTGCACATCCAACCAGGTATGATTTATACCAAATAATCTATGAAGATAAAGAAGGCAAAGGGAAACTTTTGCAATCATACAATCATAGAGTGCCCGGATTTTTATAGCAAAACACAGCGTGTGGAATTCAACCAACTAATCGCCAACCCTCTGCACATCTCCATTCACCCCTTGAGAGAAAATAATAGCAGGAAGGCTTGCCCTCCCATGATGCCTTACACAATGTCCGATGGGACAGCTCTCCTGGCGTGGGCCTTCCCCACGCCGCGTTCCTCACCTAAGGCCCCCTCCAGGTTCCAGGGGGCGCAGTGGGTGGCAACAAGACCTTCTCCGTGAAGGCCTCTCCCCCATTACATGGTGCGGGCATCCCCTCTTTGGCGCCAGGTTCTCTTCCTCCACTTTCTGGCATTTGGGAGCATATGGTCAGTTTTAAACACATCACGAGATACTATTTTGACTTCTGTGGGGATGTTTGTTTTGTGTGTATACATGTAGCTAAGCATGCATAATATTGTACTGCTAAGGTGTTAATCTTTATAAATTAAGAGACCTCTGGCTAGGGTGATTTAGAAATGGACAAGATGAAATGGGGGCAGGGGAACTCCATGCAATTATTATACAATCCAGCCACTAGGTCTATAATGTGGATGAACTATATGGATTGCACATCACCAGTTCTTTAGCAACCACACTGGCTCCTGGTTCCTGGTCTAATAATTCCAGGTGTTAGTAATTTCCTAGAAAGTGCTAAATTGCTTGGTGCCAGGCACAGAGGGGTTGAGCAGTGCGAGGGAAGAAGAAAGATCTGTCTTCAGAAGCGTTGCAGTTGTGTAGCCCTTTACACCCAGATCTGTGTACATCTAAACACTTGATAGTGCAAGATTTGTTTAATGTAAATTCTGTGTGTTGTTTCCACCATTTGTCTTATGATTTTGTGATTCTTGTTCATACCTGAGTATAGGGATCACTATAATTGTAATGCTTGGTTGGCCCCAAACCATACTTGAAATAAATCTTTCCTTCTCCCCATGTGCTGATTACATCATACCACGCGAGGGCAGTTCTTGATTTTAAAAAATTCTCACCACAGTAGGCTCCTGAAATGAGAAAGAAGATGCTTCTGTTTAAGGGTCCATATTCCAGATTGTTCAGTACAGCTTTGCAAAAATTAACTGCTACATTGGATGCCGGCACTATGGGGGACAGGGTCTTCCTCCCTTCTCCCACCATGGCCCCAATTCAGATTAGATCCCACACCTGTAATTTACATGGCCAAAAGAAAAAAAGTCCCACTGGAATAAATCAGACCTTTTTTGCAATGTATATTCCAAGGGTTGTGGACCAAATCTAGACTGGGAACCTAGTGTGGAACAAAGGGTTAAAGCCTGCCTGTGCCTTGAACCAGCTTCTCAATTTGCATGATTCTGTGTTCAACACTGATGTGAGGCAACAGTGATCTCAGCAGTGGCAATCAGAGCTAGTCTGAGGCACAAGCCATTTCAGACTTGTTACCATATGAAATGGATCGAGCCAGCACCTCTGGAAGGGAACAGCCATCTAGGGAAGGGCAAACCTAGTAGGAATAAATGGTACAGCTGACCATTCAGCGGAGTCTGGAGGAAGCAGCCTTGGGTGAATGATCCACATGCAATACTGCTCTTCCATCTAGTCATTTTGCCGATAATCCGTTTGATGGTGGGAATGCCAGTGCTAGTATTTGCATGCGTATGTTAAGTTGAGAAGACATTCCTCGGTGCCTTCTATGCTCCAAAATTTAGACACAGGAGAAAAAAAGTCAATTGATTCTAAAGGGACATATATTAACCTTACTGACTCAGCACTGACTTCTTTTGTGGTTTCCATTCTCTGCCTCTCAACCCACATATACAAAGTTCAGCAGGTGAGTATATTGTCAGCAGGCCTATGTTATCCCCTAAAATTCACTGAGGGAGTTTTGGATCACTGCCTCCTTCGATCCTGAAGCCAGGCTAATGGGGCTCCTCAAGGGCTAGCAGAGGAGGGTGAAGGGCTTAAGCAACTGGCAAACCGTGTGCCCCCCCCCCATAATGGGCGAAACATCCTTAGTCTCTCCCATCTACTTACCATTCACTGTTCTAATGCTGATGTCACTTATTCTTTCTTCACAAGTTGCAACCCATTTTTTAGCATTCTCACTAGCTTTCTGATTCCATTTCTTTGCAAACGAAGAGAAGAAAGTACATTTTAACAAGGTCATCAAAAACACAATTCCATGGAGTCGACACAGAGCAACTAAAATCTATCAGTCAGCCATTTAGAAAGAAATCCTGAACTTACTATCCAAAACGGCCAACTACCAAGAGCTTTGTATTTGAGAAAAGGGCTTCACGGGCACACCTGGGAATAGGCTGTGCAGACATGCAGGGGCTGGGAGCAGACGGTCCTCTCTGTGGGGCTGCCCAAGCACTGGGCCACCCCACAGAGTGAGGACTCCCCCAGCTCCTGCCATCTGGGGGCTTATTCTCAGGCACGAGTGGGGAGCCATCAGCTGGGTTCACCGCCCCATCTGGAGTGTCTCCCCAGGGCGCCGCTGGCAGCTGCACCAAGCCGAGGCAGCTGTCAGCCGCGTGCTCTGGTTGGCCACTTGGCAAGCACGGCAATGGCTACTCCTGCCAAGTGGCTCACTTGCCTGGAGGCTGCATTGTCCGCGTTCAAATGGCGCAGCGAGCAATTGTGGGAGGAACCCTAGAACAGGCCGTGGTGTCTTGACAGCGTTGACAGCTATGACAAGCCACAGTGGTTGGTCACCATGACTATTGGGCAGCACAACGAACAACCAAGACTTTGTGTTGCGTTTGCATGTTGTGTCATGGGGACCCAGTCATTGCTTCTCACAGCAAAGCAGAAGAGTCACCCAGCCGGTCTACATAGTCACTTTCATAGCTTCCATCCAAACCTGCAGGAAACCTGCCAGCACTCAGGACACACTCTCAGGGAAGGAAGGGAGGGAGGGAGGGAGGGGGGGAGAGAGGGGGGGGGGGGGGGAGGGAGGAAGCCAGCCAGCCAGCCAGCCAGCCAGGAACTTATCACCCGCCAGCCAATTCTCACCCACCTCAAAGCTGTGTTTCCTGGAATTGGCCCTGCTTTCTCAGAGTAGCTGCTATAACTAGGAACATAAGCCAGCTGCGTTCTCTCTGGGGATGCCTTTTCTGCCATTCTTGGAAGCAATGAAAAGAAAAAGATGGCTTGATAGAGGAAAAACTCCTGGGGGGTGCATTGGTATGAGGATTTAGTCAGGTATATTTAAAGACCCTGAAGGCAACAAAGAAACATCTCATTGCCATTCAATCTTCTACTTTTCCATGCCAGCAGAACTTTTAAGGGTAGTCTGTGTTGTTGTTGTGTGCTTTCAAGTCGTCTTCAACTTATGACAACCCTATGAATGAAAACCCTCCAAAATGTTCTGTTCATGACAGCTCCATTCACCTCTCCAAAGTTATGAATTGAATCCTTTATGGATTTAATTCATCTCATACCTGGTCTTCCCTTTCATCCTCTGCCTTGGACTTCTCCTGCCATGATTAACTTCTCCAGACTTTTCATGATGTGTCCAAAGTCTGACAGCCTTTGCCATTTTTGCTTCTGAGGGAAGTTCTGGCTTGCTTTGATCTAGGACCTGCTTGTTTGTCTTTCTGTTAGTCCATGGTATCCAGAAAGCTCTCCTCCAGCACCATGTTTCGAATGCATCAGTTTTCTTCCTGTCAGATTTCTTCACTGTCCAGCTTCCACACTCATACATTGTGATTGGGAATGCAATGGTGTGGATGATTTTGACCTTGGTCATATTTGCAGTATGATAGCTAGTGCCTCTTCCACTTTGGAATCCAGCTTGGATGTCTGTCATTTCTCAGTACATATAGAGTAGTATTCTTCATTTCCACACTTCAAGCATTACCTTGCTTGTGTGGGAGATTGAAACAATGGTCCTATGGTTGCTACATTCTTTTGCATCTTTTTTTCTTGGGGATTGGAATATATATTGAACATTTCCAGTCTGTGGGCCATTGTTTCGTTTTCCATTTTATTTGACATATTTTTCTTGGGATTTAGACTGATTCATTTTCTGCAGTTTGGAATACTTCTATTTGTTTCCTGTTCACTCCAGGTTCTTTTCAGGCACTTTCAGAGCAACTTTCACTTTGCTTTCTATTATTGCAGGTTCTTTCTTCACAGGATTCCACTTCAAAGAGGTCTGTCATCCTTTCATCTCTTTTCTACAAGTCTTCTGCCATTCTTTCCACTTTTTCTTTATTTTCTCCTGGTCTCACAGTGTGTACTCTTGTTTGTCTTTTAGCATTCCTATCTAGGTTTGAATTTCTCTTTGATTTCTTGGATCTTCTGGAAGGGGGCTGTTGTTTTTCCCCTTTAGTTACTCTCGTCTATTTCTTTGCATTTATCATTGTAATAGTTCTTTTTCTCTCTTCATGATAGTCACTGGATTGGGTTTTTGAAATCTCTGTAGTTCACTTGTAGGTTTTTACATTCTTTATATTTTATACTGTATTTTACTATACATCATAGATCAGGGCAGTATAGATTTTTTTTTTTAATGAGGAGGAGTTGGAAGAGAAGAGATCACACAAGCAACATTTCTGGGACAGAAACATACTTGTAAATGAGAATTCAATGTTCTCTTTTGGAACTAACCAATGTTGTTGACTTGATATTGCACCCGAGGGACAAGTATGGGATTAAAGGCAAGGGTCAGAGAACAGCTTTGCAAAGGGCATATGCCCAGAGCCAAGGGAGTCCAGATGGAAAAGAGGAAAGTGCTCCTCCACTAATAATACTTGTATGTCATGGAAGTTGCACCTACTATCAGTTTTAATACAACTGTTAAAGGTACAGGAGCCTTGTCTTCTTTTGCACCTTGCCACAGATGCAAAAGCATGCAGATGCTGCTTCCTGTTGAATTGAGTATGACCCAGAAGTTTTGGGGCTATGTTCTTACTCACTGCGCAGAGAAAGGAATGTCAGCTCCTCTGTCAAGCAAGATACGTGTGCATTCTAGTGGTGCTCTTCCCAAATGAGCCCAAAGTCTGCCTCTGCCTGGTTAAAGTGGTTTCCGGAGCATGTTCTGTTCTCACAGAACTGCTCCCCTCTCTGTTCGCCTGGGTCCCTGCTGGCAGCCTTCTCCAGTTCTGATGCTGCATTTCCATCCAAGGGCAGTTGCACCCCCTGATAGCAGCTGCAGATCCTAAACTGCATTTCCTCGATGCTCATTTCAGTAGCTAATGGACAAGGTGCTACAGGGCATGTGATGGCTGAATCCTGTCTACAGTCTACAGCAGGGAACTCTCGCAAGAGAAATTTCAGCCTGGGAAGTGTCTCAGTACCAATGGTGGAGGCAGCCAAAGTGCAGTGCAGCACGGCATCTTACCATTTTCAGCATATTGCTGGCTTCTGGGAATACTTTCCTCCTGATCATATTGTGGAAATGAACAATGTCTTCCTTAGTTTCTTCAGAGACTACACCCATCATAACTGAGTTGGACTAAAGTTTAAAAACAAAAAATACATCAGATGGTCTTTTTATTTTAAATTTACTGCTTTACTAAGATCACTGTAATGTGCTGTACGTGGGCTGCCTTTGAAGATGGTCTGGAGACTTCAACTGGCTCAGAACAGGGCTGCACAATTAGCATCTGGTGCTACTTCCTGGGCCCACATAACACCAATCTTATATGAACTGCATTGGTTACCAGGTGAAACCCGGGGCCCAATTTGAAGTGCCTGTTTTAACACATGCACAGCTTAGGACCATTAAGTTCAGAGCAAGAGGCCCTCCTGGATGTGCCTTCCCTCAAGGAGGTGAGAGGGGTGGTAAGCAGAAGGGCCTTTTCAATGGCTGCCCCCCACCTGTGGAACGCCAGAGGAATTTTCCGGGCACTAGCTATGTTTTCATTTTGGTGCCAGGCGAAAACATATCTCTTCTCCACCCATTTTAATAATTTTAATAATGGATTTTAGCTGTCCATTAATTTTATTGTATTTTAGTAAATTTGGTTGCCTGTCTCACATGAATATGTATTCTGAATTGATCTTGGCTATCTTATTCTATTAATTTGTTATTTATATTTTAATGATAATTTTAATTGTTCTGTTGTAATTCTATTGCTGTACACCACATAGAAGGTCTATTCGAACTACATGGTGGCAAACAAACAAATGAACAACTTGCCTCTGGCCATTACCATTACGCCGACCTTTTGAGGTGGCAGCAAGGAATGGTGGGAGCTGGTGTAAGTGGTAGAGGCATATCCCAGGATTGGCCACGGGGCATAACCATGTTGCCAGTGTGATCTTCTGGATCTTTTGTCTCTCTGGACCTGAGTTTGAGCATACTTGACCTTTCTGAGGGGCTTTGTTGTTAAGTGCCACCAAGTTGTCTTTGGCGTGGCAACCCATGAATGAGAGCCCTCCAGAATATCCTGTCCATGACAGCTCCATTCAGCAAATCTGAGTTCCAGGCTGTGGCTTCATTAATGAAGACAACCCATCTCTTATTTGGTCTTCATTTACTTCTTCTGCCTTTGACTTGCCCTGGAAAGTCTGGGGGGCTAAGGAAGCGGATGCACAGAGGGTGCTCAACCCCACGCAGGCTTGATTAGGCCAAAAGGCGGGACACTGCCCTTCCCTGCCTAGAATAAAATGAGTTGCTGAAGGAAGGGCCATGCACCTTATAAAGTGAGTGTGTGTTTTGTATATATTCAGCATCCGTCCTCTATAATTATAGCCCTAATAACTGGAAAAGAGTGCAGTGGCCAAAATGCACCTCAGAACCAGACTTTCTGAGAAATCAGAATGGCAGCTGCTAATTCTGAAGAGAATCTGGCAGGTGCTCGAATAAAGATGAAACAAAATGGTAGATTTTGATCTGCAGCAGTTGAGAAATGATACCTAATCAGTTTAGTAAAAGCCCTGATTCCTGATCAAATCATGTCTGACACACAATTATACAAGTCTTAATTTTCATACCTTTCCTAAAGATTGCTGCCATATTGTAGCCAACAGGAGGAGAACAATAGGAAGCATTTCTGTGGAAACAAAATCAATGAGGAAAGTTTATTAGAATCTTCAGTTGCTTAAACCATGGTTGAAGTAGCCATGAAATCTCTGTGGGCCTGTCAACGCAAGGCATTTATTGTCTAATCAGGGTGCTTCACTCATGGAAATCTGCGAGACCTTTTAACATCATAGAACATAGAAATAGAGTGAGTCAGAAGGGGTCTTCTGGGCCATCTAGTCTGATCCGTGGCTTCAGCCGGCTCCGCTCACAACATGCCCACCATGTGCATGTCCAGCCTAACTGTGAACACCCTCACCGATGGGGCCTCAACGACCTCCCGTGGAAGCCCATCCCACACCCTCGGAGTCCTAACGGTCAAGAAGTGCTTCCTGGCATCCAAATTGAACCTTGGTTCCCTGAGCTTTGCTGTGTTGGAGCGCGTCCTGCCTTCCTCTGCAGGGGAGAACAGGTCTCTATCCACCTCCGTGTGACATCCCCTCACATACCTGCATGTTGCCAACATATCCCCTCCGAGTCTCCTCTAGGCTGAAGAGACCTAGTTCCCTCAGTCTTGCCTCATACAGCATCCCCTGCAAACCAGCCACCAACCTTGTGGCCCTACGCTGCACTGACTCTAACCTGGCTATATCCTTCCTGTAATGAGGGGCCCAAAACTGAGCACAATACTCCAGTTGCAGGCGCACTAGAGTCGTATAGAGTGGTAGTAATACCTCTCTTGGTCTAGAAGCCACGCTTCTGACTATGCAACCAAGGGTGACATTTGCCCTCTTGACCACCGCATCCCACTGCTGACTCATGTTCAGCCTGCAGCCAACCAGCACCCCGAGGTCCCTTTCACAGGTCCAAGTGCTCTCCAGCCACTTGTCCCCTAACCTGTACTTATGACACCTATTCCTATGCCCCAAGTGCAAGACCTTGCACTTATCCACACTGAACGCCATCCTGTTGTCTCCTGCCCACTTCCATAGCCTGTCCAGATGCTTTTGGATCTGGAGTACCTGCTCCTCAGTTGAGGCCACTGCTCCAGTTTTAGTATCGTCTGCGAATTTGATCAGCAGACTGTTCACCCCTTCTTGCATGTCATTGATGAAAAGATTAAGCAGGATTGGCCCCAGGACAGAGCCCTGGTGGATCCCCCTTGTCACTGGCCGTCATCCTGATGATTCCCCACTAATGGTTACCCTCTGCTTTCGGTCAGTCAACCATGCCCTAATCCACCGGACAGGAGCTTTGGTGCATCCCAAAACTCCTCAGTTTCTCCACCAGGATATCATGGGGCACTTTGTCAAAGGCCTTGCTGAAATCCAGGTAAACCACATCCACTGCATCCCCTCCATCTAACCATCTCGAAACCTTGTTGTAGATTTCCACAAGGTTTGTCTGGCAGGAACTGTTTTTGCAGAAACCGTGTTGTGTGGCTGCCAGCCTCCCTTCCCTATCGTAGCACCACTAGATCTCTCTTTATTATGAGCCTATTATGATCATAACCTCCAATGGTTGCCTCACACCTTATAGCTACCCTTTTCTCACTTTTTCTCTGATTGGGGAAAATGTGACATAATTTTACTATCGCTTTGAACCTGCCACCAAACTCCAGTGTACTTTTGTCAAAGGGGGATGTTTCGTTATCCCTCATAATGGATACTATGAAGATGAATGGTGGGAGGGGAGGGGTGAAGGAGGGGCAGTAGTGATGCCGGCAGTGACAAAGCAGTGGGAGCATCACTTGGTGCCGCCTGGCCCTGCCCGTCCTGCCAGGGCCACGTGGCTCCGCTCTTCCATGAGCTCCCAATGGACTGGGGGCTCCTGCCCTCCTTCCTTCTGCAGCGCTGATCCCATTGGAGCCCAGAGGAGGGCGCTGGTCTCGGAGGCCACGGGAAGGCCTCACTCTGCCAGACTTTGGGGCAAAGGGGGCAGGGAGGGAGATGGGTGGAAGGACACGAGGGGGTTCAAGTTGCTTGGGCAAGTTGGAGAGCCTCAGTTGCTTTCCTGCCTGTCTCTCTCTCTCACCCCCCTCCCCTCTCTCTCTTCTTCTGACTCACAGGGCCCCTCCTCTCCCCTCCCCTCCAAAAGATAAAGTTGGCAGGGTCTTTTCTAGCCTTCCTAATTGCCTCCTTTGGCCTCTTGCTCCAGGAACGGCCAGCTGAACTGTGCATCCGTTCTGAAGTAAGTCAGATGATCTCCAATGCGCAAACTCGTAGGTAAATCACATTTCCTTCCATGGTGCCCACACACCACTGGCGGGGAGGTCCGCAGGGGAGGCAGCTGTGCCGGCTTGCTTGGGTGCAGAGGGAGTGTTAGCAGGATCCAAATGCTGCCGCCGCCGCCAGCCCTGCCATGAGGCGCGTCTGGATTGGCACACGCAGCTGGGAAGCGGCCCCCTATGGAGATCCCACCTGAACCGTCCCACTCAGTGCCCGCGGCCCCCATGGGAAGGAGCAGGAGGGTGGCGAGGGAGCCCCCCCCCCCGCCTCCCACGGGTCCCCCGGTGGGCAGGTCTTCCCTGCGCAGGACCCCTTGCGCAGTGGGCATGCAGGGCGGGTCCGGGGGGGCAGCTGGGTTGCCCAGGGTGGGCTGCCGCGCAGCCACCACCATCCATTTCTCAGGCAGGCCACTGGTGGGCGGGGGGGGGCGGGGGGGCAAGACAGAATCGTGATTTTCCTGCCTGTTTGAAATATGCTGTACTTCCAGGGAAGCTCCCCCACTGCGTGAGAGATTTTAAAGCACTTTAGGGTGTTATGTGGGAAAGAGAAAAAACAAGCGTGTATAAGGACAACACTGCAGAACACGGCTGGAACAAATGCTGATGTAGGGAAAGTGTTAATGCAGAAGCCAGTTTGAACCAGTATGCTTAGGAGCACCACAGTAAAGGGGATTGGGGGCATTGGAAGTCCGGGATTCCACTGGAGTAAATGACAGGAGTGCCCCCACATCTGGATTGGGACTGCAGCAGGGGACAAAATGATAAACTGCCACCAGAATGGCATGGTCCATTGCTGACACTGCCTATTTGTAGTAGAAAAATAAGGGAAAACTATATGCTTAACATAATATGTCGTTCTGACCCATAGTTTTTTGCTTCAACATAACTTTGAAACTTTTTACTTCCATGTGGACTATTTCCGCAACAAAAAATTTAAATTATTTGCAAATAAGCCCCACTGATTAGTCATTATTGATGAATTAAGTAATACTATTGAAATTATCTTTTCCTGGACCAAAATAATCCATAACTGCTTTTGTTAAGCAAACTTTCCTAGAAAACAATTTTGGTCGCAGAATAATAGGCATTTCAGCAAAGTATGAACACAGTAAATGTCATTGCATTCATTTAATTTAATTAATGCTTAATTTTCCTTATTGACAATAACATTGTGAGATTTCAAATGTATCAAATATTTAATGCCATATTAATATCGAAATAGGAACGTGAACCATTTCTGTTGAAAACAATTCCTTTTGCCAAAACAAAAGCTGTTACATTACCTTTTTCAGGGTGAGTTTGCTATGTCTTCTGAAGAGCTGTAGGAGTGAGATCTAACCAGAACTGGAGACGTGTATATATAGCAGTAACACTTCCTGGTTTGTAAATGAATGCTCCTGCGCCAACATACAAACAAACAAACTTCACTACCAAAAGCTATTTTTTTAATGTTCAGTAGTTTCTAATAAGTTCAGTATTAGCTAATAAGAGGTTGTGCAGCTGGCAGTTCCACTTTGATAGACGTTTAAAGCCAATTAGTAGTTGTGTGCTATTTTAAAGTGTACCAGCAATGGATCTGTGGTCCTGGTGTTCAGACAGGCATAGACGCCTCTGCAGTGTGAGAGTGCCTCAAGTCAGGAAGGGCATGCATTTCTCCAGCATGGAACCGAAGGAGAAAAAGCCCCGATATGAGAGCAGATGGTGGGGCAAGAGTGGCAGCCACGCTCCTGTCATCCATGCAAAGACTGCTCAGCAGCCGTGGGCTACGCTGGCACCACAGTGAAGAGGGAAACAATCCGTGTACATTGCCATGCAGCCGTGCCCTCCATAAAGCAAGGTGGACACCTGAGACACCCTGAACGGTGGCCGCCTCATGGCACAGCCAGGAAGAACTCTAGAAAGGCTCTGCACGATCAAGGCTCACGTCCTGAAGCGCAGCAGAGAGGATGGGGGAGTTGAACAGGCACCCCACCTGCTGCTCCAGAGGAAGAGGGCTGGGGTGACTGCTCCACTCTCAGGCTCAAGGGGGTAGCAGTTTCACGGTCCTCCCAGAAGGGGCAGCACTGCGCACCTGACTCCTCTACTCCTGCCTGAGAGGAAGCCCTTCAGATGGGAGCAGGTGGAGGGGGATAAATTGCTGAGGGGCAGTGCGGCAAGCTGGGGAGCTGCCACCACACTTTCTGTTAGCCCCATGGCGAGAACAGCCACAGCTGTTCCTGGGGATTGCCCCACAACGGGCTATGCTGTCTGTGCTCAGATATGCTTGCACACACAGAAAGGTCAGAAGGCCATTCGCAAGCCATTGTTATATCTGGGTGTGTACCAAATGAATTCCAGGTGCCTAAATACAGTACACAAGTAGTCTTAGTTTCTAAGAACTCATTCTATGTTTTCTATTTTTGAAGGCTGTACAACTTCACAAGATATGGATGCCAGATTGGACATTCAGTTCCCAATTCTGGAACACTGATGGTATGTGCCGTAAACATAAAAGACTATTTAGAGGGCAATTCACTGCTTGCTGACATTTCTTGATACTTTATGTTTCAGGGCTTTTGTCATTTAGATAAACCACATTTATGGCATGTAGGTGAAAGAAGGCTGTACCCTCGATAGAGGGTAATAAGGCACAAGGAACATGTTCTAGGGATATAATTTCCAGTAGCTATGTTCAGCCTAAGCTGCATCATTGGCTCCTGGTCATGAAAACCCCATGGACAGTACCAAAAGGCAAAAAGATGCGATGCCGGAAGATGAGCCCCTCAGG